TAAATTGTGGCTTAAATTGGGTGGCAATAAAAGTTGGGTTATTACCTTGTTTTATAGCTGCGTGGTGGTAGCGGGAAGGTGGCGATAGGTTTAAAATATATATATATATATACTATTCTAGAAGCACTATATAAGGTTTGGTGACTCTAGCTCTAATTATTTACCCAATTTGTTCAAAAAATAGGATGTCGATTTCGATTTTTATCGATTGCTTAGAAAAGGAGTAAGTTATCGATTATTGGACAAACTCGATCTGCGCAGGCACTAGGGTACCTTAGGGAAGTCGCTGACCATTCCCAGCTATGAGCAGGGGCGTAGCTAGCCGGACAGGCTGAAAAATTTTCCCCCACCGGGTCGATGATTTCCCATTACTTTTCTCTTTGTCCTATCTACTTAACACTCTTTATCTAACTTAAATTGCTTTATTTTATTAACAATTTTCTTACTTTCTTTTTTCCTATTTATTGTATTTTCTTTATTAATATAGCAAAATAAGATTATTTTTAATTTCACTTGAGATCACTTTTTTCCTACTTACAACCTTCTGCTTAGATGTAGGCTCTAATAGCGTCACTGACTAAATATAGGTTCTGAGATCCTTGCGTTCATACATATGGACGGACAGGCGGACATGGCTAGATCGACTCGGCTATTGATGATTGATTAAGAAAATAAGTATATTCTTTGTGGGGTCAGAGATGCTTCTTTCTGCCTGTTACATATATTGGATTTTGCATAAATACAATATACCCTTTTGAACCCATTTTCAATGGGTTCAGGGTATAAAAACGGATGCACCCTTATCGCTTCAATTTTTCAGTTAACTATGCCTTGCAATAACCGTTCAGAGTTTGTCTGTTTTGATTTTATCCTATCTTCTAAACTATTTAGCGAGTATATAGTCTACGCGATTTAATTTGACAATTATTTACGAATCATGGTGAATTAAATTGATGTTTAGTGCTGGTAAGGATCCACTCAAACCTTTCGCCTGCACTATACAAGCTTGCTTAAAGGAACACAACTGCAGTGAGGCACTCGAGCGAATGCGTTTGTGCTGTGTAAAGTGGCATAAGGAGTCAATTAGTTGTAACGGTTTTGATGTGGAAAAATCATATTTACCAAAGCCGAAAACAGAAAGTAATCCAAAGTGATCATCAGTAACAAATAATTCCAACACCTACCACAGCGCCTTCATATAAGCCAGCTAAAGATATTCAGGAGTTGTTAGATAAAAAACAAGAAACGTATTTGAGAAGGCGAACAGCTGTGCTACCAAAGCGCTCATGGATAAAGCGTAATCCGCAATTATTTCAAATAACATTTATTACCACGTCACTGCTAATATTCTTCTCAAAGCCGCTTTACGACGCATTCATAGCAGATCCTTTACCGTTGAAGGGTGCGTCTATATCACCCCATAAGCGTTAAGAAATGAAATCTGTGCGCAAAGCCAACGTAACTATCCGATTTTGCTTACAAAGTGTGCTGAACAGGCATCACTGTATGTGGCGTGCGTATCTCGGGAAATCAACGTTCAGCCAAAAATTTGGGAGAACGAGGTCAAAGAATTTTTGAACTATATGCGTATAACCGCCAAAGAACTATAAACAAAGTTGTAAACGTACGCTTTTAAATTCCATTTCAAATATGTCGGAGACAATGGGCAAATTCCCGAGGTTACCCGTAAAAACCACTTGGCTACAAAATAAAAGCCAGTACATATTGCATCTCAGTTTTCAATCACATCTATAAGTAGCCCCTATACTCCGACTTGCGCTTATTTTTTATGCCAACGTACATGACACCAGATCGGCAGTGCCATACACAGATATAGACTATAATGTTGTAACGGACGGCGCTTGGCTAGCTTTAATCGGAAATACACCCTTTGCGCTGCACACCTATCGTTACAGTCCTATTATGGCATATATTCAAATACCAAATGTTATTTTGCATCCTGCATGTGGATTATTATTTAACGCGCTGTTTTATTTACTTCTGGGAATACTTATTTAAGCCTTAGTACGATTTGAGTTACAGCTGCAATATCAGAAAGAACAGAAATATTTACAAATGAAATATGATAAATCAATGCTAATAAAATCACCGAACTCGGACAAAGAATGTAAACTGAAAAAATAGCACGCATCTCGGCCTGCTTTTGCCTCTACAATCCGCTGACGGCAGTAATATCAACTCGTGGTAACGGCGATTGAGTAACCAGCTTCTTTGTGCTGTTAAGCATATATCTACTGATTAAAATGGAATAAATAAGTAAAATAATAATAATAAATAAAATAAAATCCAAATCCTTGATTGATTTCTGTGCCGGTTTGGGCCACGGATTTGTGATACACTTACGCCTTTACCCAATAGTTTTTAGTTTAACATACTATTTGAGCTTGTTGGCTGCCGCTTCACGGAAATCTCGTGGACTCCTCCAAATTGTTTGGCCTAATAAGCAGCAGATTTACCTTGTGCTCGGAACATTATTAGGATTAGCATGGAAGTATATTTACGAAGCCTATTTTTATCACCTTATACGAAAAGACGTACGCCACAATTTTTCGCTGCATTTCTTGCTGCAATACCTAAGCAATGCGGAGGGAGTTAATGAATCCAATCTTATATTAAAAATGCTTGTGGTAGTGCCGCAGCTAATACTTATACTATACTTAAGTCTAAGTTTTGGCCGATTTCAGCAGACATTACCATTTTGTGCGTTTAGTTTGGCCTTTGTCATCGTGACTTATAATTCAGTAGTTACTTCACAGTACTTTATTTGGTATTTGGCTCTGCTGCCGGTATGCATAAAAAATTTTCAGCGTCTGTCTTTGGCAAGATGTGCGTCCCTTCTTGTTCTTTGGTTATGCGGTCAAGCTCTGTGGCTTCTGTCCGCATATTTATAAGTGTTTAAAACATGGCATTCTTTTATTGGATTGGTATACAGAGTTCCGTATTTTTTTAATTAACAGCTATATTTTTATATAGTTTAGTATTTATTCGATTTGTATTTTGCGTGTCGTGTCGTACGTTACAAGACTGCGCCCCTCGGTAGCTTGGGTCGGAGGTTCGAGTATTGACTTGGATATTCCATAGCCAAGTCGAACTTTTTTTTCTGAATTCTCAGTGCTGTGAGAATTATATTTCTAGTTACAAAAGGCAATTTGCCCAAAATTCGGCCAGTTTTGTGAACTTAAAGCGCTAACCTTTAACTTTGACATTTTCCTTTTCTTTCGGGATTGATAATGCTGGTAACTTCTTTGCTAATTTTATTTTAATCGCCTTACTCTGTCTGTTTTGATTATAATTTTATACGTGATCCTATTATTTCCAATTCCTCTCTTCATGCTGCTATAAATTCTTTAAAATCTTCTGACTCTCCTGTGCCTGACAATATTCTTTGTCTACTCAAGACGTGCAGTACTTACTTTCTTCGACCATTGCTTAATCTGTTTAATCTTTCCCACGAATCTTCTGTCCTTCCATCATTATAAAACCAATCCTTTATCATTCCTATCTCCAAAAAAGGTGGAATGATCGATATATAGAATTACAGGGGCTTTAAAAGCCTAGCGGACAGTTAAATTATTTAAACAAGTAAGAGGTTCTAGTCGGGAGCTCCCGACTAGGGGATACCCTGAACCCTCTTCTTCCAACAACAAATGCATATATATATTTTATTTTAAAAGCTATATGTCAAGTTTGGTGACTCTAGCTCTTATTATTTACCGAAATTGCCCAAAAAACAGGATATCGATATCGATTTTTATCGATTGCTTGGAAACGGAGTAAGTTATTGATTATCGGAGTCAAGTCTCTAGCTCTTATAGGTTCTGAGATCCTTGCGTTCATACATACGGACGGACGGACGGACAGACAGACGGACATGGCTAGATCGACTTGGCTATTGGTGCTGAACAAGAATATATATACTTTATGGGGTCGGAGATGCTTCCTTCTGCCTGTTACATACATTTGGATTTTGCGCAAATACAATATACCCTTATACCCATTTTTAATGGGTTCTGGGTATAAAAAGTAATTACTTCGAATTTGCAGCATTTCTGAAAATCACAATGGATTCGTAATGAATCGATCAACTACGACCAAAATGCTTAAGGTTTGTACCTTGGTAAATTATGCTTTTCTTTCTAAAATGTGTACTTATGTCAATAACACTGACTTCAGTAAGGCGTTTGAGTCCGTACACCACGAACTTTAACTTCTTAAACTTGACTGTTTTGGTTTTCCTCCGTCTCTTTTGCATTAGATTTCATCGTATTGCAAAGGTTATTCATAGAGTCATCATCTAGTGTACGGCGTATAACAATAGCCAAGATCGTATTGGCTCAGCTCAGAAGCAATTTCTGCTTTTTGTATTACGAGGGTTAAAAAGGGACCTTTGCAATTTGTGCTTGCTGCTCCAAACTAGTGCCCCCCCAAAACACGTTTTCTTTGAGAACTTATGTGTTTTTTAACCAATATTGATAACATTTTCGACATTAGATCTCTTTCTGATAAAGAATATTTGTATATTCTCAAAAGTCAATTGCATGAAAATTATGGCTTACATGGAAATATAAATTTGTTTAATTATTTGATTTATAGCTATGTTGTGGTAACGGGTAGGTGGCGATAGCTATAAAATGCTAGCTCTTAAACCTTTTGAGATTTGCTTAAATCACAATAATTTCGATATCGATGAATTACTTGCAAACGGGGCAAGCTATCGATTATCGGAAAAAAGCTTGTACTACGCGGGCGCTATGAGGAACTACATCAGAAATGCTTTCGTTCATACATAAGGACACGCAGACGGACAGACTGACGTACATGGCTAGATCGATTTGGATATTTATGCTGACCAAGAATATATATATACTTTACCATTTTAAATGGGTTCAAGGTAAAATTAATTATAATAAGCTCTTAATTCGCTTAGTGTAATTAAGCTTCCGTTGCTTATTTGCCGTAGTATACATTTTTTGACTTACCTGACAGGAAGCACATATCATCGTTTTTTGTTGGGAATAATTGACCTAGTGCGATTCCAAGGTATGCGAATAGAAGACTGCTTACCAAGCAAATCAAAATTTTTCCCGGAAGGTTACGCAGTTTTTCGATTGACGTATAGACCAAAAGGGTTATTGCATAAAAACAGCAGGATATCAGAAGTCCAACTGGATACATCTTAAATCGTATGCGATCATTGTTCAGTACTTTAGAATCAAAACACAGAAATGTGTACAGCTGTTCTGAAAAAAAATATTTAGGTTTAGGGCGGCGTCAGAGCTCAATTAAGTTTTATCACTCGCTCTGGGAGCAAATTCGCCTCACTTCGCCGCCTTAGCGTTACGTAGGCTTAAGTCAGCTGTCAAATTAAATCAAATCAATTAAATAACTATAAAAAATAACAAAATTTTTCATGGCGCCCCCGGGTGGACACTTTTAAAAGATAATTGTTCATATATAAACGAACTCAAGTTTTTTAAGTGCAAAGCTGTGACTTGCACAAATGTGCACAAATGTGCAGAAGTTGAGCATAATTAAAATTTGCATGCACTTACTAACCGCTTTAGATATACATATATATTTATCATACATATAATTTAGCGAAAGATAATTAGTTCGCTTAGTCATCGTCCTTCTCCTCTTCTTGCCATCACTCGCAACGACTGTAAATTATACAGTTGTCCAGTTGTACAGCTGCAGCCCTTTTATTTCGTTGTGCTAAGTCGGTTGCTGTGCAATTGTTTTTGTACGCATTTATCGTTGGCGCGTTTTAGTCAAGAGAAGCTCGCTCCCCTACGTTTTATTTACCAAGCATATCCGATTTTTGAATTCGCTTGCAAAATTAGATTTTAAATTAAATGAACAATTATAAAATCGAATTTAGAATCAAATATGGATTCTAAAGAAAGTGTTGATGGTTCAAAAAAGAAACGCAATATATTCGTTAAGAGTATAATGCGTTTAAATAATCAAATAATAAATGGTAAATTAAACCGAGAGTTTAGAGCATTAGAATGTATATATAGACACAGCGTTAAAATATATCAGACTCGAGTAGAAACTTTTGACCCAGATGATGAGTATCGAGCCGAGTTCAAAGAACTTTGTAAAACGACAAAGGCCCGTTTAAGGTCCGTTATCAAGACATTAAGTCCTGAAACGCCTACAGGCATGCATCTGGCACTTCCCAAGTTTTAAAACTAGAGCATTAAAAAATTCCAACATCTGAGCTAATATCTCTCTGGTTAAGCTATAGGCACTGTTAGAGCGTTTCATGTTACCAAGGACAATTTTTTAAAAGTATTGGACAGCCTAAAGAGAGTATACGACAATGAATGTCTAATTGTTAATAAATAAATATTTCGGTTCTCTTCAGCCTGCCAAAAATAAAGCAACCTTCTGCGCTATCATTGAGATCAATGATTGACATGTCTGCGCCATCTATGGCCCGCTCCTGTCAATAGTTGATGGAAAAAAGATTTCTAAGGCGATTCTCATTCACCTCGTTTTGAACAAAGTTGACCCAATGACCAGACGCAAATGGGAGGGTTATTACTTTGGTTATGCAATCATTCTACTATTGAGTGATTGTAAAACAGCCTTGAATCGTAGACATCGGCCGATGGCCCGAGGCCAGAGTCAGAGGTTCTTTCCAAAATCAATAAGCGAGGTTCGTTTTCGGTTTTGTGGTTAATGTAAGAAACGTTCAAGTGACCCCAAAATGTTTATATTGCAGTTCCGAAGGTCATTCGATATTAAATTGCTCAGCATATGCCGCATTATCAGTACAGCAGCGGCTTGAGTGCGCTAAGGCGGCTCCTTTATGCATCAATTGCCTTCAAAAGGACACACTGTTGCCAAATGTAAGGCAAACAGTTGTAGAGTATGCAGTCGTTCTCATAAGACATTGTTGCATAGATACTCTGCCGTTTCTAACACTCGACCGTTACCACCACCCCTTTACTCCGCACAGGATCAACTATCGACTTCACATACTATGCATGCGAATGCGTCAGTCTTATTGGATGGATTGTATCAGGGCGTTACACGCCGTCAAGACCGTAGAAGACTCATACTCTTAATCTGAGTTGCCAAGAAGACTCTTATACCTCGCTAGATAAAACATTGCAGAAATTAGGTTGTTGGAAGAGTTGCCTTCAGACTTAAAGGTCCGAACAGTTGAACAGCAGGTTTGTAAGAGCGACTTTCAAGATCATTTGGAAATATTACCGTCAGGTCGATTTAAAGTAAGACTGCCATTTAAATCAGATCCCAGCTTAGTACTCCTTCGAGGTTGCTAAGCGTCGTTTTATGTCGCTTGAAAGACGCTTCTGCCGAGATCCCCAGCTTAAGCGCATGTACTTGGAGTTCATGGAGGAATATTTAACTTTAGGTACCATGTTTGAAAGAGATGATCAGATTCCAAGTATTTCACACTACTTCATTCCGCACCAGTGTGTTTTAAGACCACAAAGCACATCGACAAAGTTACGCGTTGTTTTTGACGCGTCCTGTCGGACATCGTCTCAAATTGCGTTGAATGACCTTCTAATGGTTGGACCGACTATTCAAGAGGAGCTATGCTCGACTCTGCTTCTAATTCGACTCCACAAATATGCGATAACAGCTGACATCAAAAAGATGTATAGACAGGTCATGGTGCATGAAACAGATCGAGAGTTCCAGCTCGTAGTGTGGAGAAATAACCCATCTGACACTTTGAGGTCCTTCAGGTTCAATACCGTAACTTACTGCACTGTGCCTGCCCCGTTATTGGCAATACGATGTTAAGCAAAGCTGCTGACGATATGGGGTACAACTTTTATGTCGATGATTTACTGCCTGGTGTATAGAGAAACTTTAGACAATTGAGTCTGAAGAGTCGCAAATACTCCAAAGCGCATGTTTCGAACTGAAATGCTTTTATAGTTCAGCCTTACTCTTCTCTGAACCTTAGAGAGTAAAAAAAGTTAACGTGCCCTGAAAAGTAAATTAATAAAATCGACTTATGAAATCGACTAAACCAAACAAAGTGTTTTATTTAATTCTGTACATTTCAATACCTTTCAATTCAAGCTAGACGATTTTTCATGGATCTGAGAGTGAGAAAGCGGAACATTCTCTTGGTGACTTCGCGGCTATTTGACCCGATTGGCCTGTTAAGCCCTTTAATATTCAAAGCAAAAATCCTACTCCAAAAGCTATGGCTTTAGAAGGGATGAATCTGTCCCTCAGCGTTCGGATAACACGTGGCATCTACTGAAATCTACTCTGACTCAGTTGCAAAGAATAAAGATACCAAGATATCTATCGAAATACATGTCTTCGCCAACGCTTGAATAAGAGCGTTTGGCGCATGCGTATATATCGTAGCCATTCTTCATTCTTTGGTTTGATTCTGAAGTCATGCTTCATTGGACTTCGTCTTTCGTCTTTGGCAACATTTGAGTCAAATTAAGTGGCTGAAATCCGATAATGGACAGAGAAAGCTGAATGGCGCCATGTACCTACAAAGCAAAACCTAGCAGATTATTTTAAGAGGCTCTGATGTTGATCAATTAGTTGCGTCGATGAGGTTCGATTTCATTTTGAAGGAACCAAAAGAATCCTGGACGGTTAACCAGCATCTGATGACAGATGAGATTGAACTCTAGAAGAACGCAAACAGCTGTTCGATTAGTAGCTATGGTAAGCAGACAAGATATCTTGGAAATTATCGATAGTTTCTCATCGCATGCCAGCCTGCTGAATGTTTGCTTATGTGTTTCGCTTTTTTTAAAAAGTAAAAATCGAGAAGAACAATTTGAGAGTATCCCTTCGGCGCTCGAAAGGAAAGAAGCTTTCGAGAAAATAGTTGAAGTCACCCAACGAGTTGAAGATGACATAGATTGAGTTCGAAAGCGCAAACGCGTGGGTCATAGCCTGCAGTGTCTCAATCCATTTATACATGAGTATAATGGCTCTTGACGTTCCTTTTCGTTGTTGTAAGTAGGGGGACGACTTGCAAATGCTGCTCCTCTACTTTAAAAACTAGCTTACAATTCGCTAGAAATTTAATTAGATACCTGCATTTGACGAATTTTCACGCTGGCCCGTGGGTTTCTTCGCGAGCGACTTTGGTTAATCAACACTCAAGAGGTCTGTCGTCAGTCAGTGAGATTATGTATCCGATGCTTTAAATGCAATCCCCGATTCGTGTGGCCCATTTACCACGACCTTTCGAATGCGAATACATGGCACTGTTTGTTTGCTTCGCCTTCAAAGCGGTACACTAAGAACTTATGTCTAACTCATCCACTAATACATTTTCAATGGCTTTTTAAAGGTTCGTCTGCCGTCGAGGAGACCTACATATCGTCCATTGCGACAACGCGACGAATTGCGTAGGAGTAAGTCGCCAGTTTGTAGAGTTGCGAGATCGAATCGAAGAAGAAGCGGACGCAAGTCGCGAATTCTCAAGAATTCGTCAAGAGCTCCTCATTTCGGGATCTGTGATTTATAGCAGTTGGGCGGTAGCGGGGAGGTGGCGATAGGTATAAAATGAAAGATACTTGACAGATATTTAGTATTATAAAAGCAACAAATCATGTTTGGTGGCTCTAGTTCGTATTATTTACTCAATTTGTTCAAAAAACAGGAAGTCGATATCTATTTTTATTGCTTGGAAACGGAGTAAGCTATCGACTATCGGAAACAACCTCGATCTGCGCAGGCACTAGGAGCACTTGCATCTAAAATTTCAAGTCTCTAGCTATTTTAGGTTCTGAGATCTTTGCGTTCATAAATACGGACGGACGGACGGACGGACAGACAGACGGACAGACAGACAGAGATGGCTAGATCGACTCGGCTTTTGATGATGATCAAGAATATACTTTATGGTGTCGGAGATGCTTCCTTCTGCCTGTTACATACATTTGGATTTTGCACTAATACAATATACCCTTATACCCATTTTTAATGGGTTCAGGGTATAACAAATAACAGTAGATCTAGTAAATCTCGAGAGTAGAAGCTGTAGCAAACAAAATTTTCATATTTGGACTGACCCCGACTGACCACGGAATATTTCTACGAAAATCGTCACAGTTTTAAGATGTTCAATGACTAACATCACTTTGATTTCAAATGATTAAAAGACTTCGAATCATATCTCATATATTAAGGTTTAGTAATTTATTTTCCATTGAAAGTGCCAATAATCAAATTATTTGTTTTATTACATTAAAGTGAAGGTG